TTATGTTGGATTGACGTATGATTTTTGGCACAGTCAACTTTGGAGGGTAGGTTGGTCACACTATACTTTGCGAATAACTCATGACACCACCACAGAACTTTGGTGTCCTTTGTGCCTTCTACCTTGGGTCGTTGACTGTTCTCTTAGTTGCCACAGAATTCAATACTTCGTCTGCTTCCGACAGCGCTGCCGTTCTCTTTAAGCAGGGTTCTAGTGTCGATGAGAATGCCAAGACCCTTGACGAGGAAAAAGCAGATGCAGAGTGTCATTCTAGACCCCACTCCGATGTAGCTGATTCCTCGACTTTCGACGGTCTCGAGAAGAACACCATTGTTACGGACCTCTTCACGTGGCAGCACCTGCGATATGAAGTCCCCATTGAGGGAGGGATGAAATGCCTTCTTGATGATGTCTCGGGCTATGTTGCCCCTGGGAAGCTCACCGCGTTGATGGGCGAATCTGGCGCTGGGAAGGTATGCCTTCCTGTGATTCCAGTCGCGCATATCGCTTACTTGAATGCTTGTAGACAATGCTTTTGAATGTTCTTGCACAGCGCGTCGGTGCTGGTGTAGTAAGCGGTGACCGATTCGTGAACGGGCAGCCGCTCCCAGTAAACTTCCAGGCACAGACGTAAGTGTCGTCCTAACTTCGCTTATCTCACCTGACTGCCATATTTAGTGGTTTCTGCCAACAACTCGACACTCATCTTCCCGAAGCGACTGTTCGCGAAGCGCTCCTTTTCTCTGCTAATCTTCGCCAGCCCCAGTCAGTTCCTCTCGCCGAAAAGGAAGCATAGTGCGTGTGATTTGTGCTATGATCGATCCCAACTTAACTTCACAATGCAGCGTTGACAAGTGCATTCAAATGTGTGGTCTAAAGGAGTACGCCGACGCTATTGTTGGTTCTCTGGGAGTTGAGTACCGTAAACGCACCACCATCGCAGTGGAGCTCTCTGCCAAGGTAGAACGTTAACCCTGCAGCCTAGAGTTGTGCTAAGTGCCTGATAGCCCCAACTTCTACTCTTCTTGGATGAGCCCACGTCTGGTCTCGACTCGCAATCTGCCTGGGCTATTGTGCAGTTTCTTCGCGAGCTTGCCGACCATGGTCAGGCCATTCTCTGCACGTGAGTGTTGTTTTCGCTTGAGGGGTTTCGGTCACTTATGAGTTGTACCAGGATTCACCAACCTTCGGCGGAGCTCTTCCAGGTCTTCGATAAATTACTGCTCCTTTGCAAGGGTGGACAGACCGTCTACTTTGGCGACATTGGCGAGAATTCGTCGACTATGCTGAACTACTTTGAGCATAATGGTGCTCCCCGCTGCGGTTCCGACGCCAACCCGTAAGTAAGGATAGTTATACCAGGTCTGGTGCTTACCAGTGCGTTCAAGTGCGGAATACATGCTCGACGCAATTGGCGCTGGAGCAGCTACAGTCTCCACCACTGATTGGCACGATGTATGGAAGCGTTCATCGGAAGCAATGCATCTCCAAATTCAGATCGAAGAGATGCATAGACATGGTCGTACTCGCCCACAACAGCTGAGCGTCCGGTATTCTGCTTTTGCCACTTCATGGCTGTACCAGTTCGCTGCACTCACTAGACGGAATTTCCAAGCATACTGGCGCAATCCTACGTATATTCACGCCAAGTTTGTGCTTAACATCGCTGGCGGCCTCCTTGTGGGCTTTACATTCTTCCAGGCAGACGACTCTTTACAGGGCACCCAAAACAAGCTGTTTGTAAGTACATCTATAGGATTCCTCGCTTAATCCTATTTTCACACTCTTTAGTCAATCTTCCTTGGCCTTGTGCTCAGTGTTTCCCTCGTCCATCAACTCATGGCCGTCTACATTGACATTCGCACAGTGTACGAAATCCGTGAACGTCCTAGTAGAATGTATCACTGGACCGCTCTCGTCATCTCACAGCTTGTTGCTGAGCTTCCTTGGAACATAACAAGTTCTGCGACGTTCTTTTTCTGCTCTTACTGGACCGTCGGATACTCCACCGATCGGGCAGGCTACACGTTTCTCATGCTCTCTGTCGCCTTCCCGTTGTACTATACTACGTTTGGACAAAGCATCGCATCCATGGCGCCAACCGCTCCACTTGCATCCATGTGCTTCACAACTCTCATCATTTTTGTCATGATCTTGTGAGTGACACACTTTGAATCACACTACGTCATGCTGATGGTCCATTAGTGATGGCGTAGTCCAGCCATTTGACCAGCTTAATTGGTGGAAATGGATGTACAGGGTCTCTCCTTTTACATACATCATCGAGGGTCTCCTTGGTCAAGGTCAGCGAATGATTTTCTTTGCTGAATAGTCATATTCACCTTGGTCCTCGCAGCTATTGGCGGGCAATCGATTAGCTGCTCTTCCACTGAACTTGTCTCTGTCAACCCACCTAAGGGGTTGACGTGTGGCAACTACATGGGTCCCTTCATTGAATTCACTGGCGGCTACCTCACGAATCCCGAAGCTACAGAGGGCTGCCAGTACTGTCCTGCCAAAACCACTGACCAGCTCATGTACTCAAGGTTCAACATTCAATACAGTAATCACTGGCGCAACCTGGGCATCGTCTTTGGGTTCGTTGCGCTTAACGTGAGTCACTAGCGGATGTCGTTCAAATTTCGTTCTGACATACCTCTGTAGATTATCGCTGTTTTCTGGTTCACATATTTCATGCGCATTCGCACTGTCAGCGTGTTCACTTCTCTCAGGCAGAGGTTAACTCGTCGCAAGTAGGTTGTAATTCATGCATACCACATACCTCGCAAATGCATTCATAGGATCGGGTACTGTGTAGCACACACTGGCAGACGTCGTAATTATTTGCAACCTACCGTATTCAAGTTAATGTCTGCAATACCCCTTTTGGCTACAGAGTCGCGATACTGTACTCGGACAAAGCAAAATCGCTAGGACGATATGTCGTGAAACTTCACATCTGCCTGGCATTAATTCACGAACCATATTCGAAATTATAATCAGAGGGTTTTCTGTCAAGGACTAGTGTTACGGCACAACATCGCGCCTTATAGTGGTGCGCTCTCCTGTGCTCAAATGACCAAGGCGGATCTGCGGATTTCAGGGTTAGTACATTAACATCTTGCAAGGTTATACTCTAGGACAAGCATGAACTTCTTATAACTGATCGGAGCAAGTAATTTATTTATAAATATAAATATCATTGTGACCTCATGCTACGGAGTCTCCACCTCGACCACTTCTTTCTCCAGGCTGAACGTAGATTCAGGATGCCCAACACAAGGATTCATCTCGTGCTGCTCGAAGATGGGTGGCGAAGTCCAACATACACAATCGGCGAACGTCGTGCTGACGTGTACGCATTGTTCGTTCCATGTGTATCCCAAATGCTGATGATGAGACGGGGCGCGAGAATAAAGGGCGCAGTACCGTTGAAGAGCTCTGCGAGACTCATCGCTGGCATCTGCGGGTGTATGCGTTAACTGATCTTTGCATAAGTTGGAAGTTTCATACCGGGATGTCCGCCCATAGTATTACCAATAATATTTGGTTTGTCAGATTCCTGGCGAGATGCGATTATTGCTTTTGGAACCTAATGGACGAAGCGGAACTCACAAGGCAAAGTACATGATATGATAACGGACAATCATTACCATGTAGGTATTAGGCTTCATTTCGATCCTCCTCTGTTCTATAACATGTTTCACGAGAGTGAAAGCCGCGAGAATGACAAGTAAGATATCATAACACATGATGGGGATGGAAGTATAGATCGCAAGCATAGGCCCTATTTTGAAGAAAAGGGTGCAGTACTTGGCGTTCGGAGTTATTATCTCTTTCACTATAAAATGAGGCGGGGTTAACCTACATCCAAAGCGATCAGGGCACAAATTTACCAGAGAACACGCTGCGTCGACTATACAGATAGATATCTGTCCCTATTGAGAGGGCCACGATAGGCACAAACAATCCCACTAGAACATGAAGTACGAGCTTGGATTGGTTGCATATGGCATAAAGACGCCAGATGAGAATGACTGTAGATACAGGATCGGTGCATGTAGCGAGATGCAAGAATGTATACTTTACCTTCGGCAAAGCAAAAATACACTGAAAACCCCCATTCAATCAGAACGATAAGATCATAACCTATTCCAAATGCATGATGAGTGAATGCGTCTCATGTTGAAAACGATATACGTACAACTAGATAAGCGGGCAACTGTTGGAACTCAGTTAGCTGTGAAATGAACTGGGGACGTACGGCTGAAATATGTATCAAGCTAAAGCTCTTGAACGATGGAATATATATACTCACTGATTCAGGTATATACAACAGACCTCCCCCTAGCGCAAATCAATCAATGAAGGGTCGAGTTGGCATGGGCTAGTGACACATACAGCAGGCGCACACCCTAGTGTGAAAAATTGTCAACATGATGTGTACAGTGTGAAGGGACAACTACGGCGACGTACATTGCAAGGAAAAACCCAAAATATCGAACCTAGCAAAAACATCATACATTTGATTGAACACTGGTAGGGTGAAACTCACGACAAGGTACAGGCATGACATGAACGACCACGGTCTTTTCTGGAGATTCAATTAGTCTTCGGGTTGGGTTTATCGTCCAGATAAGGGGTTTGACACTGACCCAAACATATTCAACCTATGCCGATAATCATAACCATCAGCACGCGACCGACAGAAGAAGAGTTCTCTGTTACCTCCTTGTCTAACAGAAGAACTAGACGATCTTTCACTCAGTAAGAGTACAAGGTTCACCAAGGCTACTAACGGTACTCATAAGATATCAGGGCAATGGCCGCTACTGCAGTCGAAATTCAGAGTAATGATGCGGCAAATCAGGCAAAGGAGCTGACGAACCAGACACATTATTGTTCCAGCGGAGACCAGCGGCAGCCTCTTCTTCCGACATGACACTGTGCAGATGGGATGGAGAATTCGAAAAGGATAAGGGATGTTGGAGCGACTTATGATAAGGCACAGAATTTCCTCAGGTTGACTCGTGATTGGCTCCGAGTCGTGGGGACTGAGGTGTTTGTTCCTCGTCTAGTAGTTAGGGTTCGGACTAGATGCAATGAAGGGTACGAGACGGTATCGAGTTTACCTGTGCTTCCTGTTGATTTCCAAGTCGATGTTCTCAATAGTTAGTTGTCAACGGTTAAACATCACACCCGAATTTAAGACTGATGACTCGGAGAGTAGCCGTTATATTTTGGCTAGATTCTTCACTACTCGCACGGTATGCCAGTCGTCGTGGTGGGCGTTTTATAATAGCCTAGAGGATGTGAAGCATTATCAGCTGCGCACCAATCAACATCGGTCTAAGGGTTACTATTGTTATATCTTGATAAATATGATAGCCATGCCGCCTTTCAGCCTGAAGGAGCACAAATCAGGCTGAGGACGACGACAAGTTTCATTCTTACATTCATGGGAACTGAACGGATTGTAATGGGATATTGATGAGCGAGCAAGTGATTCATGCTGTCGTAGCGATTGTTGGTTCATGTGCGTGATGCAGTACTGTGCTACTAGTACATAGTAATAGTAGTACTGGTAGTATGAATCTAAGCAGTCCTGCTTATTTTATTTTAATGTAATTCCAATTGAGAACCCTATATCAGGACATTGACAACATGACGATCCGAATCGGTTACTTGAATTGGCTCAATTCCTTCAAGTTCTCAGAGGCACCGTTTGAATAACTTGGTTACAGCTTGGCAGCGACCCTTTCGGCAGCAGCCTTTCAGGCTAACAGTCGCCCTGCTCAATTCCATTTTATTTTTCTGTGAACGAGTATAACTATATATTGCCGTGTGAACAAGCAAGCGAGTAAAAAATAAAATGATATATTAGACTGTTGCGCGTGTTGTTGCGCGTGTGTTCAACATTTGTCATCGCGGAGTTTCAACAATGCGAGCGGGGGCCCCGGATGATACTTGAAATCTTCGGTGTACAATCGTCACTCGTCATGAGATGTCTCGGACGCCGGCCACTGAAGTACTGAAGCACTACCAGTCTGCAGCTAAACAGCTTGAAGTCCTCGCGATTGCACAACTGGCCACGGCAGAAGATGACGATGACCAGGGAATCTGGTGAGTGTCGGCATGTTGGACGTTTGATGTGCCGCCTCGGCATTATCTAATCTCAGCGAGCGCTGTGCGCCATCAGAAATAAAATAAAATACTCGACCAATATACTCGACCTCAATTAGAACACATTTTATTTCTCAAAATCACACATCCATCGTCTCACGCGCCTGCCAGAACCACAAGTATCAGACAAGTCAAGTAATAGTACTCCAGTCATATCGGCCCATCAGTGAAACTTGCACACCGGTGTTGATACTCACCGTCTCGAAGAACTTGCTGCATTTGAATACAAGCCTGTCCTTCGCTTTCGCATGAATGATCAACTCCCCATATCTTGTCTTCCAACCGAGATCTCGTGATTGCCTTCAGATATTTCGAAGAAGGACGGTGCTCGAATCAGCTCGATGGATCCGCGAGCAATGATGTGCGGTAGTTACACGAGTCTGCGAATGCTGGCACGAAGTCGTTTACGAGTGCCCGGCTCTTTGGACTTTCTTTCTTGATTTCTTTCCTCCTTGTCTAGCCGTCATGCTTGAGAGGTCAAAGAACCTACCATTGCTCATCATATACAAATTACCGATCCAGCTACATGATTGTTTCGAGCCAATCCTTTCGTACCTACTGCAAATCGAATTTCTCCAATTTCGCGCATTACTAGTGGATTCTGGCCTGTTTGTCGAAAGCTGGACTCCACCAAGACCTGAGAATTAGCGCTCAATCCTGATAGGTGGGGATAGAAGGTCTTGGTTGCCATTCTTTGTAGTGAGGCAGCCACGAACTTCTGCGCAGGTGCCATCAGGGCATGTTTTTTTGGTCAATTCAATGTTTGAGGTGGTTCAACTCGTCACGACCTTTGAGTGTAGTTACATCTGAAAAAGTAGCGGTTAGAGTTGTTTTTTCTCCCAGGGAACAGAGTGGTTAGATGTGATTCTTTTTGCCAACTGTCAGAATCACAGTCTTCTGCCCACAACACTGACCGAGATCCATTCAAACATATGTCAAATTTTCATTATTTGTTAGTAGGAAACAAATACTAGGCTATCATAGCTCTGCCGACTTCTGCCACCAACGGGCCACGACCTACTGCCAGCAATTGCCACCTGGCAAACATATTTCATTCTGCCAACAAGACTACTTCAACTCTCCAAGCCGATCAGATCGCTCGGCGCTCCCACAACGAGGCTCATCAAACACCATCTTTCAAGGACAAGCGCCTCAACTTCGGAGTGTTGAACTTACCAGTTTTAACATAAACTGGCAGCTCATATTTTCAAGCAACTAGTCCTTCCTATCGATGTCAAGAGTTCTCTAAGTCTCATAGATGTCGAAGGCTATCGAGACATTTCTGATCTGTTTGCGGCTATGGACATGCATCCTGGCGGATCTGGTTCCGTCATCGGTCCAATCTGCCATTCGCACTCTTCCTCTGTGTCCAGTCAAGTACGTCGTCGGCGATGAATCCTGCAGAATCCTGGAATCCTAGTGAAGATGATATACGACTATCGATTGAATTTCAATTCGATGATGACATTACTCACAATATCCGTGTTCTTATGCATCGACACCGACGTTTCTATGCGTGCTAGAGTACTAATTTTTGTTCTTATCGTTGACTGCTGTATCTGATAGTCTCCCCTAGGCGACCTAATCTAGTCTTTCCCAATACTGGATCGGTTGATCATTTATGTCGCTTTGAGGGAGCCAATGAACACGTCTACCACACGTTATACGTTGATATAATGAACTCAAGTGCTGACGATAGGTATACTGTCCCAACATTGAAGCACGACATCACACTTCAAGGTCGATTCTATCAGAATCAAAACTTGCAAAGTTTCAAGGGGACTGGCATTTTTCTTGATCACTTTACCCTCGACAACTACATATTCATATAATGATATCTCGACTACGTATACTAAAACTACTGTGGTATCTTTGTTCGATGCTC